TGTATCCCTTAGTAAACTGTGTATGTATACATATTTTGTTTGGTGTTCTTCGTTTTTGATCGCAGATTATTGATACAGTAACTTGTGAATTGTCACCTACAACCTTCGAAGATTTGTCAAACCACTAAAGACACCTATTTTCAGATCAGTTATTTTGTTATTTTGCAAATACCTTGAAAACAAAAATGTATAGACAATACAATTATTAATTGTTGTGGTTGCCATGTGGGCCGCCACTACTCGACTTTTTTTTTTTTAACTGTGTACAGAAAATAACCAAACGGAACCATTAAATGTCTATCATACTTCACCCATTATGCCAATAACGAGATGTTTAGAGATGTGCCTATGTTTGTAATATAAACTTTATTGACATGTACACCTATAAGGCAGTGATTTGCTGTAGGCCTAAGCATATAATGTATTTGCCTTACGGTATACATATAATCGGTATCTTTATTCAAAAAACTCCTTCATAAAAAAAATACATTAGTAGCCAAAAGCTAAATTGGTGTATTTTGTACAAAAGGAATACAAGAACGAGAAACGGTAAAAACATCACATTAAAACAATACAAAATCAAACCCAAAGCATCAGTATAAGCTCACTACGTTAAAATTGCACAATTTGAATTTTTCAAAATAATTTCATTAGATAAGTGGTGGGGCTATTTTTAAGACAATACAAAAAAAGAACCCAAACCATCAACATTTCGCAAAGTTAAAAACAATTGCAAAATTAAATTTATTCTTCAATTAATTTCATTAGATAAGGGATGGGGCTATTTTTAAAATGTTCAGTCCTCAGGAAAGGCATTTCATAATTTTTATGTTTACGAAGTTTCATTGATGAAATATTTTTAGATTTTGGGAACCAGTGACTAAATCTTTTATCGTTGCTAATTTTTATAGCAAACTTTTTGCATAATAAAATCCTACGTTGTGTGAGTGATTCCAGCCCAAGTTTTCGAGATCATCCTGATAGTCAACATAATTGTTTACAAGAATGGACCGACATACACGTTTTTGCACCCTTTTCAAGGAAGTCTCCTGGTAAACTGTAAGTCCCCCAGACCACAGAGGAGCTGCATATTATAGGATGGGCCGTATGTATCCCATGTAGACTGTTAACAGCTCATTATTATTGAAACCAGTCTCTTTTAATTTTCCTAACATGAATAGTTTCCTATTAGCCTTTTTGACCATTAGGTCAACATGATTTTCCCATTTTAGGTCACTGCTTAGAACTACTCCTAGTAGTTTGACGTTATTAGCAACCGTTAAACGGTTATTGGATAAGTGGATGCTTATATCTGGAACATCATTGCGGCCAAAGTAGACTTGGAGGGGTTCCGTTTGATTTTGTTGGTATGTGACCAGACAGAAAGTGAGTCAAGTTTAGCTTGAAGGGAACATTGACCCTCCACCAACCTACTCTCTCCAAGTGTCAGGTCATCAACATATTTCCAGACATGAACATCTCCATCAATAGGAACATCATTTAGGGCAGAATTAATAATGCAAAGAAAAATGATTGGTGCTAGGATAGTCCCTTGCGGGACACCTCCAGTTAAAACTTCCCAATCAGAGTAACAGTTTTTATACTTGCACCTCTGTTTGCGATTTGAAAGAAAGTCAACAACCCACTGCAAGATAGATGGAGAGATACCAACGTTATATAAACAGTTAAAAGCTATTCGGTGATCGATCAAATCGAAAGCTTTGGTAAAGTCTGTAAGAACAAGAGTGCATATTGAACCTCGTTTCTCACAATTTGACATTAAAAAGTTATAAACATCTATCAAGCAGTGGGTCGTGGACACTCCTTTTTGGTTTCCATATTGTTGTTGATTAATAAAAGGGTTAATTGTATCAATCACAAACCTTGACACTCTTTTCTCAGCAATTTTAGCCAAGGTAGATGTCAGGGAAATTGGCCTTAATTTGTTAATAGAATGGGGTGTCTGTTTCGGAAGGGGGATCACATTGGCCAATTTCCACTGCAAGGGCACTTTGCCTTGCGCAAGTGAGGAATTAATGATATGTGTTACAGGTACGCTGAATTCGTAGGCGCATGCTTTAAGCACCTTTTGTGAGATACCATCTGGACCAGTTGATTTCGAAACAGACACCCTCTTCAGATCCTCGTAAATTTCCCATGGGTGGAACTGGGTAGGTGGCACAGGACAAGGGAGATATGCAGGGAGATATTTTGTATCTACTGCATTCTGGCTTTGAGAGTGACTGGTTAAGTGTTTATTTACAACATTAGCGATAGCTATATGGTCACCTTGATTAATGCCAGGGACATGGATGGTAAGAGAGTCCCTGTTCATATTGGAAAACCATTTTACTTGTCGATGCCACCTACCCGGTTCCACTTTCTGAAGGTAACGAACTTTGTTAACATTGTATGAGTTTTTAGCTTTAATAATTTCTTTCCTAACTAAATTTCGATGTATGTTCCTATTCTCTAAATCTCCAATTACATGGGCTCTTTGTCTTTTAGCAATTAGTTCCTTAATTTTGGCAGTAATCCACTTTTTATCAGTGTTGTGTAGTTTCAGTGTTTTAGTGGGGAAGAACTTCTTAATTGCACGATCTATAGATCTATAAAAATTGTTAGTTTTAGATTGCGTGTCTGGGGCATCAAAGACATCTGACCATGTCTGAGACTGCATCCACCTACCGAACTGGTTGAGGTTGGAATCTGAGATTGGTTGGATAGTTATTTTAAGATGATAATTTAATGGTTTATTATTTAATGGTTTAACTAAAACCATTCCGTGGTCACTGCGCCCCATTGGGGAAAGTTATTCAGGAATATGGTATAAGTCATACATATTAGTAACCATTAAGTCTAAAATTGCATTTCCCCTTGTGGAAAATCTTACAATTTGTTTTAAATTATTACCACTACAGAAAGATTTAATTTCAGTTCTATTAAAGTCTCCAGTGATCATAATTCCAGCTTGAGGTTTGTGGGTACGGATAATATCCACTGTTGACTCAATGTGTTCAATCAAAAGTTGCTGATGTGGAGATTCTGGGGGTATATAAACACAGCCGATGATCAAATATGGCGCTGCCCTAGGTATTTTGTGGTGAGACACTAATAACCAAATCATTTCAAGCTCTGGTGGTACTGATATAAAATCAAATATTTCGCATTGCAAGTTGTCCTTAACATATGCCACGACACCTCCGCCACGCTGATTAATTCTGCATTTGCTGAAGGCCATATATGATTGTATATTATACATTTCGGGAGCTGTATGTGGAATTATCCATGATTCGGTTATAATGATGATATCCGCTTCGATGAGCTTAAATAGTATTTCCGCTTCTTTACGTTTATTCAAGATGGACCGGGCATTGACAGTAGCGAAAATAGGGAGAAATGATGGGGCGGACCTTTTCTTTTCCAAATTGGTGTCATGTTTGCCCTTTGATAATTCAACGTTCACAACAACACGAACACGTTGAAAAGATTCATTACCTAAATAATACATGATGTTTATACATGATGTTTATACACATATGCCTTCAATAACATCAGTTAACATTTGGCATAATATCTTGTCTTCTTGATACATTTAATGGAGTATGAATCAATAATTTAATTGTCTCTCTGAAAAACCTGATGACATTGACATGGACATAATTATCGTTAAAGATATTATTGAATTGAATAATCAATTTCATCATCATCCTTATTATTGTCATCATTGTGAAAAGTAGATTTGGAAATACTGCAACAATTCTGCATTAAATAAAAAATGGATATGATGCAGAACTGCTAATAAGGATATTCATAACTTGTCACTTAAACGTCTGAAGACTTGAAACTATTGAAGACACCTTTTTCGGATCAGTTATTTTGCGACCAAAGTTTTGATTTCCCACACTAGCAGTAGTGCATATGGTCTAACCAGGACATTTTTGCCTTATTTGGGAGGCTCTCGACCAATCAGAAGCCTGCATTCGGTACCGCGTGACCCTCATTTGCATAAATTGAGGAGCGGGACTATTCCATTTTAGAGCGGGGGGTGTTAACCATATTCCATTTTAGAGGGGTGTTTTGAATTGGATTATTCCATTTTTAGAGCAGGGGTGTTTAACCCTAAACCTATTCCATTTTACGAGGAGGGGGCTTTAACTAAATCAATTCTATTTTTGGAGCAGGGGGGTTAACCCTAACCTTATTCCATTTTACAGGTGTTAACCCTAAACCTATTTCATTTTTTAAAACCAAAAGTGGTTAACCCTAACCCTATTCTATTAATGAGCAGGTGTGCTTAATCCTAACTCTACAGTATTCCATTTATGAGTAGGGTGTTTCCTAACCTATTCTATTTATGAGCAGAGTGCTTAACCCTAACCCTATAGCATTTCATTTATAGGTAGGGGTATTTTTAATACAGCAGGGGTGCTTAACCCTAACCTAGTCCATTTAGGAGCATGGATTCGTAACCCTAACCCTATTTCATTTTTAGAAACCCTATTCCATTTTACAGAGTGTTTAGCTTAACCATAGTCATATTTTGAGCAAGGAGGTTAACCCTAACCCTTTTCCATTTTTCAGGCTGTTTAACCGTAACCCTATTTTATTTTTAGACCAATTACCTTAACCATATGTCATTTTTAGAGCAGTGGTTAACCCTAATCCTATTCAATTTCACAGGGTGTTTAACCCTATGCTGTTTTTCTTAATCAATACAAACATAGCTACCACCTAAAATACCCAAATCTTAACCTATATCATAACACTCACTTTGATTT